GTTCCTGTGTGTCATCCATGCAGTCTCCACAACTCATGTCCTAGATTTCAGCGACATGTTAGCTCCTCCTCATTAAGTGAATATCCCCGTGAGATTCCTCTGGACTGTGAGATCTACAAGAGAAGGGGACTCCTCAGGTGGAAGGAACAAAAAGGACTTAGGGAGGCACACAAGAGGAACTCATAAATTGAGATCCTTGGCAATCAGGTTTTCTATATTTTATACACATGAGGTCTCTTCCTGAGACCCAAGTATGTCACCAGCTTTAGGCTTTCAGTCAGAAGCCCAGAGTGCCTGCTTTGAAGTTAATTGTATTATACAATATAGTTTGTGAAAAATGCTAACACAGCCTCATATTTCCCCCTCAATTTCACCGTAGAAATTCATGGTTTCTGTGTGTGTGTGTGTGTGTGTGCGCGCACACGCATTTGTGGTTTTCCGGTTAAGCACCATGATCTTCCTTTAAAATCTTCTTACAGAACAATTCCCCATCCTCCAGCCCTGCATGACCATTCATTCTGACAGCAAAACAGACGAGTGATGAATGACTGTGTCTGGCTCTGCGGCTCAGAACATTAGAATCCTCTCCTTGCGGGCTGCTGTCGTAAGATCTGATCCTTTGATCTCTGCCCAGACTGGAGGCTGGTTTTGTCAAATTGACACCAGCAGAGAATGCCTCAGGGAAGCTGGTCACTCTGTTTTCATTTCCCTTAAATTTCACATTTGATGTCCTTGTTCTTTTCTGGCATTTTCTAATCTGTGAAATCAGAGTGAATGATAATCTAGTTACCATGAAGAAGACTGAGCCATTGCCTTTGGAGGAACAACTGCACTGGTTGACATTCCCAGCCCGGATGTTACACTCCGCTCTGATTGCGAGGATAATATTCCACTACAAAAGAGACGTTTATTTAGACATTAAATCCTTGAAATTTTTGAACAAAAGAATAAAGTTTTGTTGGGAACCTGTTGGGTCTGTTTTCCTTAAGAAAAACAAAACAACAACAACAACAAAAAAAAAAAAAAAAAAACAAGCAAAAATCCCTCATTTCCTATTGTACCCTTCCCTCCAATATACTGTTTCTAAGAGAGGCCTGGCAGGCACTGCTGTAACTATAAAGGGCTGCCCATTCCCCCAGGGCTGGGTATTTTGTGTTTTGAGGCCCCGTGTTGTAGGCTTTCTGATGGAGGGCTCTCCGTTCCATTCCTTTCCCTTCTGCGCTCGCTGTGGTGTCTCTGGTGGATCTTAGGGAGATGCTCTGTAGCATTTGTGAACACTTGTCTCATTACTTAACAGTCACAGAGCTGACACTCCGAACTGCAGAAGCAACTCACGCTCTCTGTGCTTTCTGTCCTTCGGTCAGTCAGTCAGTCAGTCAGTCAGTCGTTGCTCTCTTCTTTCACACCCAGCCATTATTCCTGGCTGATCCCAATGATAGACAGCAGGGAAGCAAGCGCACCCCTCCACATCTTTATTTCCCCTTCTCATGGTTGCCAGTGCAGCTCTTGGTTAGTACACACACACACGCGTGTGGATGTTAAAGTGTTAGCAGCCCTGGGTGCTCTCTCCTCGTTCTTTGTCACTCTGTATGATCTCCTCTGACTGAATGTGTTTCCATGGCTCTAAGTGCCAAGTGCTAGGATAATGTTGTTGTGATGGGCTTTGTTTTTTTTTTTTTTGCTGTTGTTTTGTTTTGTTTCATATGATATCTAATCCAGTCCACTGTCCCAAGCTTCATAGCCCTTTACTTGTACTTCAGATACCACAAGAACCACCTTTTCAGTCCTGAACCACCCCCCACCACACACACACCTCTGATCGCGACTTCATCCACCTCAGGGCCCAGAATGGCAGAGAGATCCGTTTTATCTTTGTCCTTGTTGCTTTATCTGTACAGACAGAATATTGTCTTAGTCAGGATTTCATTGCTGTGAAGAGACACCATGACAACCCCAACTCTTATAAAGGGAAACATTTAACTGGGGCCGGGTTTCCATTTTGGAGTTTTAGTCCATTATCATCATGGTGGGAAGCCTGGCAGCTTGCACGCAGATGCAGTGCTGGAGGGGCTGAGAGTTCTGTCTTGATCCACAAGCCGTGTGCCACACTGGGTGTAGTTTGAGAATATAACACCTCAAAGCCCGCCCCCACAATAACTTCCTCCAACAAGGCCACACCTCCTAATAGTGTCACTCTCTATGGCCAAGCATTCAAACACTGTGGGAGCCATTCCTATCAAACCACCACCAGTATTAACCTTAAAAATGCTCCGTTAGTTTCTGCTAAATCAGTGATGGTGCAGGTTTGCCTCAGTAAAGGAAATCCTTTAACACTAAAACTGCCTTTGATATGTGGTTCGTGTTGTTGATCTTCTTCTAGTACAGCTCACGCACGTGCAGCACCCCAAAGTTTCAGAAAGTTTTTATTGGAAAATGGCTTCGCATTAGCTCAAGGAGAAGAGGAGGCCGTATATTTATTTTGATATTAATGGACTGACAGAGTACAAGGATTCATTTAAATTCAGACTTCTAAAGATAGATACTACTATGCTTTAATTTTACCCAGTAACTCCCTGGAGGCGATAGTGGGATTCAAATACCTTAGACAAAGGCAAATTTGAATGATAACTTAGGAAAACTAAGCAAGTCAGTAACATGTACAGCTATTTGGAGAGTATGAATTGAGTATATAGAAAATCCAGGTTGCATGCCAGGTGCAGTGGTGCACACCTTTAATCTCGGCACTTCAGAAGGCAGAGGCAAGCAGATCTCTATGAGTGTGAGGCCAGCCTGAGGGTCTGCAAGTCCAGGACAGCCAAGAAAGAAAGAAAGAAAGAAAGAAAGAAAGAAAGAAAGAAAGAAAGAAAGAAAGAAAGAAAGAAAGAAAGAAAGAAAGAAAGAAAGAAAGAAAGAGAGAAAAAGAAAGAAAGAAAAGAAAGAATGAAAGAAAGAAGAGAAAGAAAGAAGAGAAGGAAAGATAGATCCAGGCTGTTCACCTGTACCTTCTACAACAGTTCCTACACTATGCTGACTGCTCATATTAAGGAAGACTGAAGAACCCAGCAGTCTTTGGAGAGGGATAACAGCTCTGCCACTAATGGCTGAAGAAAAAGCACATACACGGCCAATCTAGAGGAAAATGATGTGTGCCCAGGACAGGAAAGGGTCATCCACGTGGGAAGACTTTTCATCAGACATAGCCTACCGGCTCAGTAAACAGATGGACGTTATTTATATCATTGAAGCAATCTGGGAACAGGTGCTTAGCCAGTAACTATCTCAAAATCTCTCTCTAATGAACTTCCTAAAGAGTCCTTTTTTGGTGCTCAATAGCACAGACCAGATACCTGTCTGTGATTCTCAGCTATCTTGAGCTCCAGTGTCATTGCTAAAGACCAGGGACTCCTCAGAGATCCTTAATTAGCGATGATCCTGTGCAGTTTAGAGAATGGCCTACCATGCCCATTGTATCTCTGTGTTTTGAATGAGTGGCTTCTTAATTATATCGAGCAAGCAAAATGGAAAGAACAGTAAGTATCAGAGAGCTAGGAAATCATCATCAGATCAGGTGCTCACAGTATCCAGGATAGACAGCCAGAATAACTGGACTGTGGGAAAACTGGGGTCTCTCAAACATGCAGTAGAAACTGGCTGGGAAGGTTGAGACTAGAGTTCCTGAACAAGGTTTTTCTCGGTGCCTAAATGTCCATCTTCTTTCCCGCTGTGGGCATTTTTAGGTCATGGGATAAACAATACTAGCCACTTAATGGGCCACCTTCTAGCTGTTCTCAAACACACGAGGTTTTTACTCTTGAGGGGCTTTGCTGTTCTCTTTCCTCCTAGTTTCAGAACTGGGCGGGGAGGGGGCGGGCAGATTGTCCCAGATGCTGGGTCCTGGAGAAACCTTTGAGATAAATACGCTTGCATCTGAAATGGAGGGGCTGGTCCCACTTTCAGAGTCAGCCTCTGGTGAACTCAAATGGTGCTTGGGAATCTGTCGATGTAATGTGCATTACAGAGACCAAGGTTGGGGTGGGGTAAAGAGCAACAGAAAGATGCGGGAAGCTCCATGCGCCTACTCAGTCACCCTGACAACTGCTGCATGTTGTGGCCTTTCACGTGTGGAGAACATAGACAAAGCATCTACCCAGCACAGACAATGGCGGCTGATGGAGACGGGAGTCTGGTGGTCTCGTTTATAATCAGAAATGAAGGCACAGTATTTACTTCAAGGTGGGCTTTTTCTTTGACATCAGGCAGCTCTTGGAATCTCATTCTCTACCCCATAATCTCCATGTTACATAATCTCCATGTTGCAATGCAGCTCACTTTCTCATTTTTTACTTGTTGAAAGCCTTTGATAGATTTCATGATAACCTTATAAAATTCTTTTAAAAAGTATGAAGAGTGCCAATTGACTAGGAGTATTTGCCAAAATGATGGGGAGATGGTGACACTGTGAACAGAGGCTAATGCCCCAGTCTTTGTAAGTTCATGTGTCCATCAGTCCCGCTGTGTCTTGAAGGTAGTATTTTCTTGGTGCCTTCCATCCCCTCTGGCTCTTTCAATCTTTCCACCTCTTCTTCTTCTTCAGAGTTCCCTGAGCCCTGAGGGGTGGGTTTTGATGAAGACCTCCTATTTAGGACTGAGTGTTCCAAGGTCTGTCTTATTCTGCAGTGTTCAATTGTGAGCTGTGTGTGTATTAGTTTCCATCTCCTGCAGGAGGAAAGTGGTATACATTTCATTAAACTGCTGGGTTTGGGAATGACTCTCCTTGCTTACAAGTTTGGGTAAAACTACTGCTGCCTGTTTTACAGAAAGCTTAAAAACGGATTGGTAAACTGTCCTGATAATTCTAGCACATTCCATATATAGTTTTTATTTGTAGTTCCCGTCTCCTGGAGTGATTGATGCATAAGTCAAGAGGTCAACGGGAAGTAGCAGGTTTGATATTCTTACTTTGTAAAGTGGCTTGTTTTCGTTTTTGTTTGTCCTTGTAGGGCCTGGATTCCCTTCAGAAACTCACACTGGATGGTGGGTCCTGTGAAAGGCAAAAGATGGCACTCACTAGCTTCACTCCTGCTCCTTCCATTTACGTTAGATGTCGAGAGAATCATGAGCAACACCTGCCCCTCTCTGAAGAAGGAAACTTCCATGATTTACCAAGGCAAGAAGAATAATCTCCTGTGATCATAAGATGACTCAGGTTAGTACTCCCGGCTCTTACAGTAGTAGGTCAAATACTCTGATGGGGTTTAGTGATGTGCATATTCAGTAAACCTAATTAGTCCAGTTCCTGTAGTTTAAACTGTATGACAGTGTGCTAGAAAGTAGATTGAAGCTTTGTATTTTGCACCAGGTGGGGGAGGGGAAGCATTTGAAAATAGTGTACAAAGTGAATAAAAACTATACAAACATATTTGGTATTTGTTCGTGCTTTTCTAAGATATACACTAAGATTTATGTGCATACACATTATATACACACATACATATATATATGTTTACCTATATACATATATATATAGAGAGAGAGTCAGTTTTCTGTGTAGCCCTGGCTGTCCTGGAACTCGCTCTGTAGACCAGACTGACCTCAAACTCAGAGATCGACCTGCTTCTGCCTTCTGAGTGCTGGGATTAAAGCTTGCACTGCCTGGCCCAATATAAACGTATTTTAAATGATAGGTTTTGTAAGTAATAATGTAGATGTTATTTGAAGTACCGAATATTTGAAAGTGCAGTAAAGGCTACCTAGTCTAAATAAGTCTTGTATTGTTCCGATCAACTTGTATTCTTACTCCAGAATTACAGTTAAGTAGTTTCAATATCTTGGAAATCTAAACCAGAATTTGATGCTGCCTTTTTATGAAATATTCTGTCTTCTTGGCATTGACTGTTAGATGAAGATATGGAGCAGCTATATGCCTGAGGTGTGTCTATAGAACATGTTTCTCAGTGGACAAGCAATAGTACAAAACAGTACCAGGAAACCAGAGTCTTCTCTTTGCTCTCCTCTGAGTGCTTGCTAAGACTGAGGCACAGTGTTTACAGCTCCAACCTAAGACATTCTTGCCTCAACTAAAATAAATATATGATATGTATCATGTATGTACATCACATACATGTCCTGTCCTGGTGCCCACATTAGAAACATACACGGTTAAAAGTTAAATCCTTCAACCATCTATCTTGCCTCTGGAATAAAGCTTACCCTCCTCATCAGCACCAAAAGCCTCCATGATGTAGCCCGTAATTCTCCAATGGTTTGGAGAATATATGAGTGTGTCCGCTGAAGGATCGCAGGTTGGAGCTTGGTCCAAGGGTGGCTGAGAGATACCATCGGAAAACTGGTCCAGCCTTGCCAAGAAGAGAGGTCCCTATCTGCCTTTTATTATCTTTTTTTAATTCATGAAGGTAAAAAAATGATAAATTTTAGCCAGGAAACCAGGAATGTCATAAATGCCATTGTGGAGCTGGAGAAAGTACTCTGAGGAGACAATACTCATCCTTCACAGAGTTCCTTGGGCCTCTCTGTGGTGTCTGCCTCCTTGATAGCCCAGCTCTTCTTAGTGCTTTTACCCCTGTATATCCTCAGTCAGTGTTATACCTGGTGAAAGAAAAACAAACCTTCCATTTTGTTTTATGTTTGGTCAATCATATATCTAGAGTTTTTCCTTTGCAGTTGTGGCTATTGCTGTTTGCTTTTTCTCAACCCAGAAGTTTGGCATTCCAGAAATTTCTCATGGTGAAGGTGGGTGGGAGCATTGGCCCACAGACCTTCCCACAGAGGGACACAGGAAGCACACTTTTGGGGGAGGAGTATTCTCATTATCTTCATTGTCCGTGTAGCTTTCTCCCTGGCTACATCTGTCAAGACTTAACAGATTAGGTATTTTCATTATTTGCAGGCTTTTGCCTGTCAGCCATTTCAAAAAGAAATATCACCGAACTGTCTTGAGTTGCATAATTCATTTTCTCATTAAATATTTTTAGTGTTTTCAGTGGACTCTGTAGGTCAGTAATAGATTATGAATGAGTGTTAGAGTGGTAAAGAGTGCCTAGTATTAAGTGATACCCTGAATTCTATCCCCATGACCAACTACAGAGAAAGACAGGCACACAGAAACACAAACACAAACACATTCACACGAGAGAGAGAGAGAGAGAGAGAGAGAGAGAGAGAGAGTTTAGACCAAGGGTGTTAGGATTGTGCCATCTCAACTTAATCCAAACGTGTTGTTTCGCATGTTGTCTCTGTCACACTGAAGTCACTGTAACTTCAGAAAAGGCCATTTGGCTGTATTTTCCTACATGCAGCAAAACATAAAGGTTGTTTTGAAATGGATGTCCTCTGCCTATGAAGGCTGGATGCCTTCACCTTGTCACCACAGCCTCACTGGTACACTAACAAATCTGTATAAACAGTCTTTGAATGAACCCTTATCTTCCACAAACACTCTCCTACCCCTAAACCTATCTCTTGGTAACAACTCCGGGCTTTATTCCCCTGCTCCACTGTTCCATTCGTCCCGGCATTCCTTCACATGTCTATTGCTCTTTGTCTAAAAACCATAAAACCATCATGGGCTGTCCTGAGAAGAGCCCTGTGTACATGCAAAATTAATAAAACTTTCCTTGTGGAGACAAGGAAAAGGGATCCTGCAAGCCACATGCTGCTTAAAGATTTTCCACTCAGAAGTAATCCTCATCTTTTCTGATCATGCTTGGCACTCTCAGACAGTCACATGGCTCTGCCTGACTTCTGAAAACGAAATGTTTGCTCACGCATGCAGAAGAGATAATCCAAACACTTGTAACTTCTTAATGAGGACCCTGCTGCTAGGAGCAGGAATTGCTAACGTCCTTCTAGCTGGTCTCCAGCCAGGCACCTGCTCTGTTATGTTCCCATTATTTCCTCTTCTCTCTTTCATGCTCTAAGAAACAAAGGCTGCAAAATGAAAGGAAGCAAAAGCCCCAAAGCACTTGTCAGGAGTCCATGATTAGCACCACCACCCCATAGTGATAAGATCAGAAACCCAAGGAGCTTAAATTGAGAGGCATTGACTCTCTCTTAACCCTGAGAGGGTTAAGTTTAGCTTCTGGGACCACAGGAAGCCAGTCCACAGAGACTGGAATACAGACTTCCTGCTACCCGGACTCTCTCCTCCCCTCTCCTTTCTACTGGCCTTCCCTCACCTCATTGCCTCTACTTGGAGATGGGTCTTTTCCAGATGGCAGGAAAGATGGAGCCAACAGCTTGACCTTTACATCTTTCCAACTCTGACGTCAGAGGCAAAGCCACCTGCTGTTTAGCACCACACTGAGATTTCTGCAGAAGGACCCTTGTGATCCTGTCTGACCTGCCCACTCTGGCCAATGGCTGTGTTCAGGAATGTGGGTCACATGAACATCAACATCACAAATCCATCGAAGCAATGAAAGACACAAGTGCTTAGAAGAAAGGCATGACAAACCAAAACAGTAGCTGCTCTATGTAAAGCCAGCTGTGCCTAGAATGACCTTTTAAGGTAAGCAATGTGGTCCTGTTACCCTCCCACCTCACCAGTTTAAAGCCGTTCCCCACTGCATTTGGAAGAAAATCCGAGTTAGTTCAGAGTATCAGCATGTAGCTTCTTATGAATTCTTCATGTGCCTTTGCTCCCCAAACAGGTTTCCACCTAGAGGGCACTGCCTTACAGTCACTTACTTTCTTGTCATGAGTACCTCCTCTTCTTTCCCTTGTCCCCCTCTCTTACACACACACACCCCAAAACAAGCAACAGTAAAGCAAACAATAGCAAATAGCTATCGAGTTATCACCACAGTCACGACATGAAATATTTCTACTCTTCTGGAATCTTCTTACCTTCCAGTTCTCTCTCTAACATCCCCCCCAGCATCCTGGCAAGCAAGGATCTCACTTCACCACTCAAATGTAAACTGGTTTGTTTAGTCTTGCTCTGTTGTGCTTTCATAAATAGAAAACATGTTTTGCATATTCAGAGTTTAAAACACAAAAACAAACAAACAAACAAACAAACAAAAAAAAACAGGAAAGGAGCTTGCGAGTGTTAGGAGGATGTGGGCGATGGATGGAAGCCAGGAGTCAGCAGCTGAGACCCAGCTTCTTTGGAATCACAACTGGAAAGTAACACATGACAGGGTTTATTAAAAAAAAAAAAAGTGGGAAGTATTGAAAACAGCAAGCAGCAGTGTGGTCTGAATACAGCTTCTGAAGCTTAAGGTTGGGGTATGAGTCACTGCTAAGGACAGGCAGGGCTTGTGGCCCATGGAAGAGGCAACAGCCAGCCAGCCATATCAGCATCCATGACTCCATCACCTTCTTCCTGCAGAGTCACTTGTTCCTTTTGATGTTGTTATCCTTTGGATCTCGAGTCACATGCTAACGACCTGGGTACTCCTGATGGCATGAGTGGGAGGTGGGAACCTCAGAAGGTGGGTCCTGGTTAGAGAAAGTGGATCAGTGGGGGTGTCCCCTGGAAGCATATACTTTATTTCTCAGCCCCTTTCTCTACCTCTTTTCCTTGGGTTCCTGGCTACCACATAGTGAATGGTTTTGCCTAGGCATGAGTTCCATGATGTTCTACTTCAAACTCAGGAGCTCAAAGTAAATGGGCCAAGTGTCCATGGAAATGCGGGAGACAAAATAAACCTTTCCTCCTTTTAAGTTGTTCATGTCAGGTACTTTGTAACAGAGAAGCTAGCACGTCCATTGGGTTTTGCTTGTTTTGCTATGGTGTTTGTTATTTTATTATTTTTATTCAGGTTTGATTTTGTTTGTTTCTACAATGCTTACATTGTAAGTTTTATAGATTGCTTACCGAGTAACACTGTGACTGTCCTTGAATACTAGTTACTTGAAGTGTAAAACAATCATTTCTTAAAAAAAAAAAAAGAAGCAATTTAAAAGTCTGATTTCTTTTCAAATTGTCTAAAAAGAAAGAATTTGTCTGTTTTAGGAAGACGAGTTGCAAGAAATACCAATACCTTAAGGCTAGCTAGAATGCACTTGAAATTTCAGGTTAGGAACTGAAGAGCCTCAGGATTCAGGCCAGCACTGTGAAGTAACAGTTGTTTGGAGTCAGGTGGCCCTGAGGCAACGGTCCAGACCCCACAGAGGAGCTAGAACCAGGTCATAGAGTAGGCTGTCCCCTCCCTCTGCTCTCTTCCCTCCCGCCTCTATAAAACAGCACAGCCTCTCACGCTGTTTAAACCCTACAGCTACATTTATTTTTTTTTCAGAGCAGGATTTTTTTTTCTCTTGTTTCATTTATGTGTGCAAGGTTCAAACTGGACTCCGAAAACCCAGGAGTACCTGTGCTCTCCTGTAATTCTCCCTGTCCTTTGGTTCAGATTCTCAAGGCTAAGCCAGCTCCACCTATGACCTGGTCCCCTGTCGGGCTGGTTTTCACCCTGGATCCAGCCAGCAGAACACCCTCTCTCAGACTGCCAGTGGTGGCAGCTCTACTAGGTTTTCTTCTACAAAGTCTGTAGTCACAAGGTCCACTTAAAAACCGTAGATGAAAAGGGGTCCTCAGGAAAAACTCTTTGTTTTAGGGACTTCCTTGAAGTTGGAGTAACATTTCCCAAATACTTTATGCAGAATATTATTCTCTGGGAAGAAGCAAAGAAAGAATAGCGTGGGCCCAATGGTTTTGAGAAATGGATGGTTTTACAAACCAACCAGGACTCTCTTCTGAACCCCATAGCATGTTGGTTGACCTTTACATCTCAGTGGAGAGATACGTACATAGGGCTTTGATGACTGAGCCTTTTTATCTGGAATATTTTTCAGGTCTGGAATTTGGTGACACACAGAACAGGAAGCTTGGCTAAGATCGTTTCCATGTCCCTTGCTTCACCTAGAATCCACTGCTGTTTTTCCTAGTCATATTAGCTTAATCAGCTACCAAACGCAGAAGGAATTTGCTTATTCAGCATTCATAAAATTACCCTGTACGAAATGCAAACCCACAGGATTTCAAAAGTGTCACGTGCACAATCAATCGTTGACTCTGCAGCATTTTAAACCTTGCGTGTGCTGCAATAAGAACAAAATAGATCCACCCTGCTCACTCATTTAAAGACAGCGGTTTCCAAGGTTACTTGCTTTTGGTGAAAGCAAGGCAGTTTGGGAGAGAACTCAGAGGAAGATCTCCAGGGGATGCTACCTGGACACTACACATTCTTGTGCTTAAACTGGAGCCATTTTTTATAAAAACTTTGGTATTTTATCTTCTGCCACTTCTTTTTATTATTATTATTATTATTATTATTATTAATTACACTTTATTCATTTTGTATCCCCCCATAAGCCCCTCCCTCCTCCCCTCCCAATTCCACCCTACCTCCCCTTTCTTCATGCGTGCTTCTCCCCACATCCACTGATAGGGGAGGTCCTCCTCTCCTTCCTTCTGATCTTAGTCTATCAGATCTCATCAGGAATGGCTGGATTGTCTTCTTCTGTGGCCTGGTAAGGCTGCTCCCCACTCAGGGGGAGGTGATCAAAGAGCAGGCCAATCAGTTTATGTCAGAGGCAGTCCCTCTTCCCATCACTATGTAAGCCACTTGGACACTAAACTGCCATGGGCTTCATCTGTGCAGGGGTTCTAGGTTATCTCCACGAATAGTCCTTGGTTGGAGTATGAGTCTTTGGGAAGTTCCCTGTGTTCAAATTTTCTTGTTCTGTTGCTCTCCTTGTGGAGTTCCTGTCCTCTCCAGCTCTGCATTTTTAAGTGCATTTTAAATTTGCCTTTAAGTTTTTTAAATTAATGTATGATACTCATATGTTACATCCTGATCACAGTTCTCCCTTACTTCCCCCTGCCTCCCTCTCCCCCAGATCCATTCTTCCTCTACTTATCTTCAAAAAAGAGTAGTCCTCCCATGAGTATCAACCAAACATGGCATAATAAGTTACAATGATAATAGTCACCAACCCTCAAATGAAGGCTGGATGAGACAATCCAGGAGAAGGAAAAAAGGTCCCAAGCACAGCAAAAGAGTCAGAAACACCCCTTACTCTCACTGTTAGGAATCCCAAGGAACATACCATAAGGGCCTAGCGTGGACCCATATAGGGTCCTTGCTTGTTGCTTCAGTCCCTATGAGCCCCTCTGAGCCTGGCTTAGTTGATTCTGTGGGTCATATTCTTGTGGTGAAATTGGAGCCATTTTTAAAAACGCACATTGGGAGGAATGCAGGCTATGGCATTTGCCACTTTAATTTTGCCTCTTCCTATTTGTCATTGTCATTTGTTCTAAGGTCCTCCAAATATATATATATATATATATATTGATTCTCCAAAAGGCGTGTGGCACTCAAATAGACAAATTACTGACACGGAGATTTTGACGTAAATGAAAAGTAAGCAGGGGCTGAGGAGATGGCTCGATAGGTGAAGCGTGTGTTGCGCAGGTAAGCAGACGGACAGGAGCCATCTCCCTGGCTTCACAGGGCTTCTTGTTTGGTGTCAGAACTTCCTCTTACAGAATTTAAAAATCTATCTATCACTAGATAGGATTTCATCCAAAGGAAACCATTTGGTGTTAATGTCAGCCATGCTTCCCAAATGAGGAACTGACCCTGTGCAGAAACTTGACAATGATTAGCCCAGCCCTAAGCCACTGTCTTCTGAGAAGTGGGTAGATGGACACTAAATACTTGTTCATGTAGTGGTGATGATACCGGGGCCCTCGTGAAGGTTTCGCTACAGCCATCAGAAAGCACAAAGGCTAATGTAAGGTTTGCAGTTGTGGGTTCCAACACCAGGAAGTCTATGTCCGCCTTTAGCGGCTTCCTGCTCTCACCTGCATGTCTCGTGTTGGCCCTGCTTTCCCCAGGATGGATCCTGAAGCTGCCCAGCTGGAAAAGCAGCACGTTCACGATGTGTATGAGAGTACTGCCCCCTACTTCAGTGACCTGCAAAGCAAAGCCTGGCCACGCGTTCGCCAGTTCCTGCAGGGCCAGAAGCCAGGCAGCCTCATCGCCGACATTGGTAACACAGACTTTTTGTTTTGCCGTGTGTGGTCTAATGTGTACCCAGACACATCTATCGTTTCCATTCATATCCCATTTTCATTCTATTAAGACGCCCAATGTTGTGCTAGGAGCACGGTAGTCTCTAGAAGTCTTCCTAATGCTGAGACCCTTCATTACCTACAGTTACTCATGTCATGGTGACCCCAAACCACAAAATTATTTTTATTTTTGCTACTGAAGAACTTTAATGGTGCTAATGTTCTGATTCATAAAGGTAAATATCTGATACACAGGATATCTGATATGCGACCTACAGATTGAGAACCAGTGGTTTAGAGTATTCACTTTATAGCAAAAAAAAAAAAAAATCATATAATCAAAGTAGCAAAGCAGAAAACATCTTCCAGCATATATTTAGAGAAAGCAATGATCCATTCTGGGCCTTTACTCACATCCTCCATCAAAACCAACCTGTCGCAGATGGAATAAAATAAGGATAAAAATGATGCGACCTAAGCAGTTTTCAATTTAGAGACTTTCACATTTGCAAGACGTGCTTTGCACACTTGGCTCATGTCGAGAGGTTCCACCTACTTCTACATAAGAGCCAGACTTGTGAGATTATGAACAAAGTCTTATACCTTTGCATTATTCTGATGGGTCTCTCCTCCCCTTACTTGTAGGTACCCTACTGTGGGCGCTTGTCTTTAATTAGGCAGTCCTTCCACAGCCACAGGTTTATCTGGAGAACTTAAGCTCAGCATCTTTCTGAACTGAGAAGTAGGAAACCACACTTAGTTTAAAACTAAGGCTTAAGGTGTGGTTGAGTTCCCCCTTCCCACTAACTCTGCTTTCCAAGAATCACAAGCTTGCTGTGCCCAGGAGAACCTGAAGTCTATAGTCACTCACCCTTAGCCTAAGTTGACATCACTCTTAATACTGACAAGAATGACTGCTGTGTGTGCAGAGCATATGGCAGAAGATAGGAACAGTTAGTCCAGAGTTTAGGAAGAGGAACATACTGTGCTGCTGGGAGTCTGAAAACTATCTCTAGCATGTCAGTTTTTTAAAAATAAATATGGTTACCTGGGGCTTGGGGACATGGTTCAAGGGTAGCATGTGTGCTATCCCACTACCACAAAAAAATGGGGAGAAAGCAACTCACTGAGAATACAGTGAGTTGAGAGCTTCTACTGTCCACCATCCACAGAAAGCACAGGGCTTTCATATGGGTGGAGAGAAAAGGGTCAATCCACTAAGGAGGTTTGGGATAGCAGCCAATATAATAAGAGGGTGCTTCCCTAACATCTTGTGCCAAAACAAATTCCAAAATGAGGCAATGGTGTAGGTGTAAGAAAATGAAATTATTGAAGGAAAATAAAACTGTTTTTAAAATAGTCCTGAGACAAAAGGCCTTTATGTCTTAATGCCTCTCTTGTTCTTGCTTGTTTGTTTTTTTGTTTTTTTTTTTAAAAAGGCTATAAAGGAAATGAATTGATTGTCCTCATTTGTGCTGTGTTCTAAATGTATCACGAACACTGGACTTGTGAATACCGACTCACTGTCCTGAGGAGACAGCTGGGAAAAGTTCAGATACGCACTGATCACACATTTCTGTCAGTTTACCTTGTTTCTTCGTATTTCTGTTTAAGGGTTCCTTATTCACGGTGTATCTCTGATTTGTTAACATTGAAATCTCAGTCAGTACATACACTCCTGCTTGAACAAAGCACTGCCTCACCTGTTCTGCCCACAGGCACTGTAGCCTTCTATCAGGGAACCCAAGGAGGCTTCAGGGAGGAGGGGCGCATTAAAAAAATAAAATAAAGAGAAAAGCAAAAACACAAGAACTTAATGAAATGCAAAAACTTAATGAAATAAATGGTGAGAAAGGCACTCATGTAGTGTTAGCTTACAAAGAGTCCGCTTAGTCAAGAGCGGAAGAAGAGAGTTTACTCACTTTGTTAGGATGGGAATGTGGGAGACACCAGGTTCCAGCAGCTGTGAGCATGCACTCTGAGGTTTGATAAAAGCGTAGCCCGTGTTACTAACACTGTGAGGAAGTCATTGGATGGACCTCTGTTTGCCAGGGCTGGTGACCCATAATGTAAGAGTTTACAGAAAAGGAATTAGACACACTCTGACTCTGGGCAGTTTAGTGGGAGAGGGGGAGATATGCTTATATAAACCTGTACAAAGCTGGTGGGCTTCATCCTAGAAAACCGCAGTTGGCACAGGTGGTGAGGTCAGCATGAACCTGGGTGGGTACCAGACAGTCTGGTTCAAAAGTTCATCTGCGATGAGCCCGGCTCAGCAGGGCCTGGCAACTGACTTTAAGTGTCCAGAAGCTGTTACTCCACTTTGATTTCCTTTCCCTGACAGCCATACGAGACATGCAACTACTTCGACCTGTTCAGTGTACATACCAGAATAACCACGCAAGGGGTGTGAGTGCTGACCTTAGGGGTTTGAACGAGGTTTATCAGAAAAAGGAACAGCTGTCATGGTATAATAAGCCCGCAATGTAGAAAGTCTGTATTGACCACTTTGATCCTATAAACATTTAGAACTGTTTTAAGATAAAAGTGCAGGTGAATATGTAAAGCCTAAAATTCGAAAGAGCAAACCAAGTAATACGTCTGCTATATTTCTCGTAGAAAACCACATGTGCGGTGTAGGGATGCTAGTGAAAATTCAAAAGCGAATTGCCGGGATACAGAGGGAGGATGCTAACGTGACACTTAATGTGATCCTGTCCGCAACCAGAGTAGAAAAGAAAAAAAGTAAGGACAACTTACTTTAGGGAACATTTTTCAAAAAAGCCCCAAATCCTATCTTTTGGGACAAGGTGTATGAACACACACACACACACACACACACACACACACACACAACATTATGCTTAATGAAATAAGCCAGACAGAGAAAAACAAAGGTCACAGACCCCGGTGAGCTGTGAGACCTAAAATAGTTGAGCTCACAGAAACGGGCCCAACAGCACATGATGAAAAGATGTAAACAAATGATTGCATGAAGTTGGAGAATTCAGCTGTGCTTCAAAATCTTTTGGCAGATGACCCGCACGCAGGTTTTTGTTACAAAGCTATGGAAGGATGTGCAATGAGAGAAGCCACTCCAGCATATCCAACCTCCGGACACCCAGTGACCCACACAAGGGACAGTACTTCCAACTAGCTCACTATGCAACCTTGAGCTACTTTGTGTGACTCTAAGAGCCATGTGCCTCTGTACGCATGGGGCTGGATTTCGCCTTCGTGGTTACACAGATATAGCATCTAATCTCACATCCAGCCTTTGTCACTTTCCAAATATTGCGTATCCATCTAGGTGAGTTGCCCAGGGTTAAAAGCTGCATAGTATCCAGGCTGATGGTACCGCATTACCAGACAATTTCCCCCTGTGTTTTGGTACCATAAATTACAAGATGAACGGTACTCTTTGACTCCCTCTGTACAAATCACTAACTATATCTGTAGTAAATATGTTTTTACCCATTTGGATCCTTTGACTCCTATATAATTTATGTATATAAACAAATCAGTAAGCAGTAATGCTTTGATTAGAAAAATGAAGGGTGTATTTTAAAATAAAATTGAAATTTAAGAAGAGATAATACTATTCTAAACAGAAAAGATGTCCTCCACTGTGCTGGATTTAGCCAATCAATGGGAAGACTGCTTGGGGAGAGCTGCATTACTAACCAGGTAGCTTAAAAGATGGGCACTTTCTCCAGAACTAGGCCTCCCAGCTAGGGGTTGTAGGCACAAGGCTTTTAAAAGATCTTTGAAGAAGCCATATCAGCAAGGCCGGCACTGAAATAGCCATAATTCTGGGGTGGTCTGTTTTGTTTTTTTTTGTTTTTTGTTTTTTGGTTTTTTTTTTGTTTTTTTTTTTTTTCTGATACATGGCTGCTGTTATCTGCAGATCACTGAGTGTACTGGGCTCTGAAAATCTAAATAAAAGTTTTTAATTAGATAGCCATGACTCATCTTCTATTTTAATTTTCCCCCCTGGGAATAGCTAATTCTGCAGCTAATGGTTAGGATTATATGGGTAAGGTGTATGTTGGATCTGAATGAAAACACCATGAAAAATATCACTTTGTATATGTCCTAATACAAATTAAAATCAGGTTGGTTCTTGGAATATAGAAAGTGTGTCTCTCCTGGTCTCTCTCTCTCTCTCTCTCTCTCTCTCTCTCTCTCTCACACACACACACACACACACACACACACACACACACACTCAAAGGAAGAAAGAAAATGGATGCTTTTACAGCAAGGTGGAAGAAGACAGAGAAAAACTGCTTTCACATCTCTTGTTTTATATCATCCAGAGAAATGATGTATGATAGCTATAGTTATGGCTTGAATGGTTGAGTTTATTAAGCCTGTAGGAAGCAAAAGTACAGGGACAAATAACAAGCCGTAGCTAGACAGAAAAGGAAAGCACATAGAAACATCATCAAATTACGTTTACAACATCCAGCAGAGAGGCTGGGATGGAAGAATGTCTCACTGTATAGCCCACATTGACCTGAAGGTGCCAATGTCCTGCCTCAACTGAGATTACAAGTGTCTGCTCTCATACCATACAGAAACCTGAAGGACAGAGATTAAAGGAACATGGAGAATAGCATACATGATAAGACCTTCTGTGATTCAACAGCAGAAACACTGGGACATACCTTGAAAGCCCTGTCCCCGACCCATGTGGCCATGGCAGTTTTTCAAAGATGGGCTGGTCCACTTTACATCTATTGCATGCAGCATGGAGGGCAGTGTGTGGATTGAAGTTGTTACCCAGATGAGTTCTTAGAGTAAGAGAAAGACCAGAACTCTTCATAAGTAACTCTAGAAACACCAGCCCTAATAGCACTGAAAATGATACTTTTCTGTTCATAATAGAACAAATAATTTTTTTAATAATTAAGACTCCTCTTGACTTTTATCTGTCAGTGTTCTCAGTTTCTTTGGCAATAATTCTCTAAAGACTGATCCTTGGCAATAAAATTTGATAAAATAAAAGTTATGAATACTATCCTCATATGGCCTACACCATGCTTGGCTAATGAAAGATTCAACTCTGGACTCAATAAATGAATTTAAAATTGTGCATATCATTTGTCTTTTTCAAAGGAAAAAATAAAGAAAAAAACTTTTTTAGGTGAGATATTAACAACTGATTTTTTTAAATGTCTGGAGATGTAGCTCAGTGGCAGAGCCCTAGTCTAGCATCATGGGGCCCTGGGTTCAATTCCAAGCACAAAAAGAAATTAGGTTTGTTTTTTTTCTAGAAACATTAGGAAAATAATCATTTTGTTATTTTCAGTAAATATTCACCCATCGTGACCCAAAAGATTCTGATGAATTGGAGCCATGCTCTGTTCATCTTCTGTAGTCACTTTGTGGGACAGAGCACAAAACTGGGACGAATGTGAGCATCCAGACCACGGTCTGCTGTCTCTCCGCAGTGCCTGGTTAGGAATGAGGCTTCGAAAGGAAACATGATTGCTATGGACTGGAGCTTACTGTGGTATCGTGAACAATCTGGGTACATCTGAGATTTTGGGAAGAACTGGCTTGATGATGGACTTGACTTCCTGGTTACGGGAAAGTCTTCAGAGTGTGGACTTAGAAAGGACCAATTGCATATGTTTGGAGGTTCTGTTCAAAGTGATGCCATTAGAAATGAACATAGGATGAGCTGAGAGAGCTGGTCACTAAGAGAAAACAAAACAAAACAAAACAAAAAAACCTGTGCCTCTTTGCTATCAAAGGTTTCCTGAATAGCCCCCACCATCTGTCACAATTTATGAACAAGTTCTCAGCAGAACCCTTGAAAAGAATTTTTTCCTGTTTTTTAATAAACGTATCTCCCAAGCCAGTAAGAGGAGAAATGAATTTTCAAGAGACTTATTAAAAATAGGGCAATCATCCTTGACACATACACAGGACTTCAACTTTGAAACACCATGTGATTAATATTTTCCCTGTGACTGTCCTCAAACAGCTGGGGCTTTTATTCATAGGAACAGTGACTGTGACATCTAAAATGAGTATCTAATCTCAGACATTTATATTGAAATAACACTGGAAAACTAATTTTTTTGTTCCGCTTCCCTCCATTGTCACAGCTGGCAGCAAGGCACCTTCACTTTGTTTTTCTTGTCTCATCATTTTGAAAACAGTATATTAAGGAGGAGTTATTACAGGCTGCCCCAGACTTATTATTCAGAAGCAGCAAAGTCTACATTTAAATAGTGATTGATATTTTTGTGCCACAGAAACAAATTTCTAAGTAGGAAATGCCAGTGGATAGAAAATCAGTTCCACTCTCCTCTGGAAAGGACCTAGATTAGATGTTTGAGACTGAAGAGCATAGTAGGAGCCAGGAGCAGTGGCATGTGCCTGGCTTGCCAACTTCTTGGAAGACTGAACTGGGAAAACTCACTTGAACTCGGGAGTTCAGCCTGGGCAGTACAGCAAGGTCCAATTTCAAAACAAAACAGCAACAAAAAACTCTGATGGCAGATGCTAGATGGTAGAAGGTGTTTCTTTCAGGACAGTTAGTCATTCAGGTTACTCTCCATCATACTATAAGATTTGATTGACCTCAGTGTTTACACTGTGTACTTGGACCTCTGCCAGTAGGAAATGAATGCCAAAAATGGTCTGTTTGTTGTTTTCTTCTTCAGACTCATTGCTAGAGCTATAGCCTGAGCTAACAGAGATGCCTTGCACCTGCCGTTAACCTGAGAGTGTGCAAGAGGTTACTTATTTTTTTCAGTCAATTTGTGTTTTTAAAACCACATTTTATCATATAGAGTATTCTATTGCTAGACATTGAAAAGTTGTCAGCAATGGTTTGTTTAACAGATAAGACCCGCTGGATGACACAGCATGCACGCATAAAGTGAAATGTGTACATCAGCATAAAGATACCAACCCCTCACTGTCGGCCTCAGTTTTCGGATGTTGGAGATTTTATTTCCTAGTGACAGGCCAGCTCATGACACTGGCTCAGACTGATGTACTGAACCACACAGGCACTGCCTCAATAAATATTATATATATATATATAAAATGTTTTCTTTGCATACCCTGACTCTCTTCTGTTCTGAATGAAACTATGTAAGTATACTCTGAAGTGTTGTGTCTCGGTCATTTGATATAAAGTTTATTTAACCATTATAGGACAAGTCAACTTGAATGTCCAGTAAGAACAGCATGTAACACGGGTTTTTCTCTTACAGGTTGTGGAACTGGAAAGTATCTTAAAGTGAATAGCCAAGTACATACCCTGGGCTGTGACTACTGTGGGCCTCTGGTAGAGATTGCCCGGAATAGAGGGTGTGAAGTCATGGTATGTGACAACCTTAATCTCCCCTTTAGGGACCAGGGCTTCGATGCTATCATCTCCATAGGAGGTAAGGCAGCCAGGCCACAATCACACTTTGCCATGAAAAACCAGAGTCAGGCCACTCAACGACTCAATGCCCATTCTGAGTAGAGGTCTATGCAATGCATTTTGTCTAAATTTAAAATATGTCTGCTCTACTGCATGATTTATTTGACTCTTGCCTAATACATTTATGGTATATATGCTGTTTTAGCTTTAAACCTTCAGGCTACTACTGCATTGTTTTTGATGATTTGTTCCCATGTGTTTAACTATGTGCAAGAAGAATGTTAGGGCTCTTATTGATTGAAAATACACTTTACTATGTTGATATCAGGCCAGATTCTCCTGACACAAAGTAGATTTTTTTTCAGGAGTCATGTTACTGGAAACAGACCACTGCAGTGCCCTCGCTAACAGAAAGTTCTAGAACGAATGTATCAGACATCCCCTGGATAAATGTGCCATTCACTGGTTCTCAAGTTTCTGGAAAAGACGGGCCCTACCTGGCCCTAGATTTCATTGTTTTATCATATCTTTCTGTTTCTAGTTCTGGAAGTTTTTGATGAGTCTAGGGATTTTTTTTTCCTCACATTTCACATGTAAACTCAATGCCAAAAACAGACAAAATAACAACAGCAGCAAAATCCACGCCTGCAACATGCACCCTTATATGAGCCTTAGCTCATTTCCCCCAATACTCTTTACCTCCAGTACATCGGTTGTACTTAAATGTGCTGGGGAGCCCTGTAATAAGGGAATTCTCCAGCCAGCTGTGGTGGCGCACACCTTTATTCTCAGCATTTGGGAGACAGAAGCAGGTGGATCTCTGTGAGTTGAGGCCAGCCTGGCCTCCACAGTGAGTTCTAGGACATGCAAGACACCATAGTAATCAAAAATCCAAAATTAAAAATAAAGGACTTATCTGGTAAGTTCTTTATAGTGGTAAAATCTTTTGCAAAGCAAATCACTTGATTAAACACTTTTTTTTTTTTTAATTAGCCGGAAGGCCTTCACCTATGCTGACCCATTGGTTTAGGGAATTACTATCCTCTGGAAACATGAGCCAAATAAATTTCCATTGCTTATAGCTTACCTAGTCTTTGGCATTCTGTTATAGTAGCAGAAATACTCTAACATACTCTGTTATGATCTTCTAATTGATAATGCTCCCTTGGTGGACACAGTGGCACATATCTATCATCCCAGCCCTGTGCAGGCTGAGGCAGGAGGATCATGACTTTGACACAGAGAGGTGTTCACCCAAAATAAATAAACCAAAACAAAAATGCCCCTTTAAGTGGAAAAAAACAATACTTTTTGGAACTATAAGGTAATGAGATTAGGTCATTTTCAGTCATATTTCACATTTAGAATACCATTACCAGAAATTTCACGACTCACCCTCACATTCATATGTATTTATTCCCTATTTTGAATTGCATAGTTTGGTATTTCATGATGATCTTGACATGAGGACATTTTTTTTCTTCTTTAATGTCTTCCATTTTGGAGTCTCTTAATAACAGAGAGAACTGTCATACTTGGGTATACACTTATCACGCTTCCCTGGCAGATTCAAAAAAGAAACATTCTTGCTGCCCTTAGAGCAGTTTGGCAAATAGTCCAGACCAATCTAGCCATGTAAACTGGTGTAAATCCACCGCCCACTTGACAGCAGAGGCTCTGAAGTGTGGCTCTATCGCTCCCAGCCCCCATCCTCCAAGGAACACGGAGCAACGACAGGCGACGTTTTGGGGGAATCACACATATGCTATTGTCATCTAGTGGGTGGCTCCCCGACAAAAGGAACCATCTAGCTCCAAACGTCAGTGATACCGGTGTTTAAAAAAAAAAAAAAAAAAACGCTTTTTTGCTAAACCCGGAAGTCCTGAGCGCTTTCCAAGACCCACGCACTTGGGAAGTTTAAGAACAGTAAGTCATAAAATATAAGCTATGACAGGGTGTTAAAGCAAATCTGCTGTCACCATTGGGTTCTGTAATCCACGAGTTGGATTTCAGTTACTTTTTTTTTTTTTTTAGTCTCTCCCCCCAGAATATTGCTATGATATATGCAGTGTACATATGGAGCGCATACATGTAAGCTGTGATTTTGATTCACAAAACAAAAAATATTCTTTTAATTTTCTAAAATTCCAGCACAGTTTCTCAGCAGTGACATGTCAGATAGCCCTCCCTATGATGACGCTCATGGCGCTTCCAAACAGAACGTGTGTACGTGTGTACATGTGGCGTGTTTGACATGTGTGGGGGAATGTTCCTCTGCAAGCTTCTTTTTCCTCCAGAACATTTGGCTTGGGGCTGGAGAGATGGCTCCGCTCTTAAGAGCACTTGATACTCTTGCAGAGGACCTGCAAGAGTTGGGTTGGGTTGGGTTCCCAGAACCCAGGTTGGGTGGGTCAAAACCGCCTACACCAAGCCCAGAGGATCCAACACTCTTCTTAGCCTCCCTAGGCACCTGAGTACACCTGGCGTTGGCTCACGCAGACACAGATACATATGCATAAATAAGAATTAAAAAAAAAAACTTGCTTTAAAAGTTTGTTACTTACTACTTGTTAAATATATTTAAAACATGAGTCTGATTTTCTGCATAAAAATTATAATCAAAAATTGATTACTCTCTATTGCATGTAAAGAGTCCTGCTTTGATGGGTTCTCTTGGGCTTTGGGCTTTACAAGATCAACGCAGTGAGCTGTCATGAGCCACAGAAGCTCTGGTCTGTCGAGTCTGTCGATACTGCATGGCGGCTCCCAACTGTAACCCCCGGTTCCAAGGGATCCAACACCCTCTCCTGACCTCTGTATGAATGTGGTGTACATACAAACATGCAGACAAAACATCCACTCACATATACATATGTACATATATGCATACATGAAAAGATAGAAAATAATGCAAATTGTACTGCTGAGTGAGCTCTCTCTCTGAAAACTTACCTGTATCAGAATTCCCTTTAGATATTTAAGGCATCTCTGTGGCAGGTAAACCCTAGAGGTCATTACTTCAAAATCATCACCAACAGCTAAATGATGTGAGCATGAAGAGGGACAGTTTCAGCTGCTTTCCGCCAGCCGCTGCCCGCACGGAGCTGGAGTCTCTCAGCTTAGAACCAGTCTCTTCCCTGATCCATGCGGATGCTCCTGTTTCAAAGACTAAAAAATGTTTCCCCTTAACACAGTGCTGTGATTAAACCCCTCCAGGACCTAAAAGAATAGCACTTTCTACATATATCTTTGGTGGAAATATACTGAATAAAATTGGGGTGCAATCTGGGCATGGTGGTGCACGCCTTTAAACCCAGCGCTCAGGAGACAGAGGCAGTTGGATCTCTTTGTGTTCAAGACTAGCCTGGTCTACAAACAGAATACAGGACAGACAAGGCCACACAGGGAAACCCTGTCTTGAAAAAACACAAACAAAAACACAAAACCATGTTCCGTCCCCCGGGTTCCTTAATTACCTGACAAAGCAGAGTAATTCTTACTGCTTATAATATGCACCCGCATATCACACATATATGTAAGGAAAAGATGGATTTTAACTTAGAAAATACTCACATCTCCCTTTGGCTTTTCAGAGATTGAAAGTAAAATGATACCTTACAAATCTTTTTTTTTTTTTTTGAGATAGTACACAGTTATTGTACTATCTTTAAGAAATGCTCAATGAGTATTTTAACTTGTGTTTAGCTAGCTTCTCTTTGCTCTTCCCTTTCCTATATCTTATTTGTTTTCTTACTCTCACTGGCATTGGTGGCTCCTGGTGCTCATCCTTTGTTTCTATAGAAATACCGGCTAATTAGTAAATCAATGAATTATTTCATAGACCCCATCAGTGAACTCTACCTCACTCATGTCCCATCCATACTCAGTAATTCACATTGGTTAGCCTTGTTTGTCCAGTTACCAAATTCCACAGGTTTGGGGGCCACAGAGAGCTTGCATGGTATCGCCAGATTTGTTGTTGTTGTTGTTGGAACTGAAGAAACTTAAAATCAATAGAATGTCCCAAGCCCAAAACTGTGTCTCTGTAAAAGCCAGCCCCATGTTGTTCCTCCAGTTTAACCCAACAGGGCTCGCTCTAGGTCAGAACTGCATCGTTGTTCTGTGAAAACATCATCAGTGTGTTGATGCGCATGACGTATGCACAATGAGATCTAAATTTTGTTTTGTTTTTCTTTTGCCTTTTCAGTCATACATCATTTTTCTACAAAACAAAGAAGAATTAGAGCCATAAAGGAAATGGCCAGGATCTTAGCTCCCGGAGGCCAGCTGATGATTTACGTTTGGGCAATGGAACAGAAGAACCGACGCTTCGAGAAGCAGGATGTGCTTGTGCCGTGGAACAGGGCACTCTGTTCCCGTCTGCTCTCGGAGTCCCACCAATCCTGGGGCCATCAGTGTGAGCATCCCACGAGCCATGGCTCCTGGGGCCGCGGCTCCGCGTGCGGCTGCGCAGTGTGTTTTAAGGGCAGATGTGATTCCAAGCGGTCCCACAGCATGGACTACGGGCCTGCGGTGGCCAGAACCTGCTGTGAGGCTATGTCGAAGGAAGGCGAGGAAGAGAATGGATTATATAACAATTTTGGAAAATCGTTTCGCTCCTGGTTTTTCTCCAGGTCTTTGGATGAATCAACCCTAAGGAAGCAAATTGAGAGAGCCAGGCCAGTGAAAAGCCCAGAGGCTTGGGCCAATAGCACAGTGTCCCGCCAGCCTTCAAGACACCCCAGTTTAGACCTGCACCCTCAGGAGCAGTTTCCAACAAAAGAAACGAACTTAGATGAGGTATTTGTAGACACATCTTCTCAAACACACTTGGGCTGGCTAGGCGCACCGGGAACTTCACAGAACTTTAGTGGACACGAGGCAGGAGAGGGCAGCAGGGAGCAGAGGGGCGATTTTCTGGACATCACTGATATCAGGAATGGTATGGTTGCTAACGTCAGTGACCCTTCTTCCAGAAAAACGTTAAGGAGGGTTTCTGCATTCGACTCTACGGATTCCAACCCAGAGACCCCAAGCTCTGAGGAGGAGCAGCGGGATGCCCCAGATTCCACAGCCTTCATGCGCTACTACCACGTGTTCCGGGAAGGCGAGCTGTCCAGCCTGCTGCAGGAGAGTGTGTCCGAGCTGCAGGTTCTGAGCTCCGGCAATGACCATGGCAACTGGTGCGTCATCGCTGAGAAAAAGAGGAGCTGGGATTAGCTGCCTGACTGGGATTAACGACATCCGTCCCTCGGGAGCACAGGCTTGCCCGTCATCGGTTCACTGAGGCTGATGCGGGCACCCGAGTCACCATCCTGTTTCACTGTTGTCAAACGCAGGCACGAGTTGGTCCTTGGCCACTTTGACCTGATCCTCCCAATTGTTGACCAAGCGCTGAGCCGGGTACTCCCTGCATCCGCCACAGGTTGTGCCTGCTGAAATCTCAGTAAAAGGAGCTGAGGAAGCAATAAAAAAAAAATGAACTTCGCTGCAGGATTGACGTTATTCTTCTCAGAGATGAAAATATAATAATACCCGTATGTCAAGTGTCAGTATTATCTTTTGGCTTTTAACCAGTCTGCTGTTAAACATACCCTTTTAAGAAGCAGTATTTTTTTTTTTTAATAAAATACGTTGGCCCTCAGGAAGTTATGTGGATATCTACGGAAGGTAGCAAGGACACCTATTTTATTGCTGGGTGTGTATTTGTTGAGGGTTGCTGTGGGGGTGTCTTGTTTCCAGGCTTTGTTTCTAACTACTTCAAGCCTTCACAGAAATTCATTTGATGCAGAGAAACAAGAAGTATTGCCCCGACTCTCTACATGACATGCAAGCGTCCTTCAGGATGATTACTGTAAATAATACTCTCTTCAGTGCTGCTCTGAAGTTTGTTAAAGGCACTGTTAGCAGAGGGTGTAAGTTTAGTGTTAGAGCAGGCAGCTCGAAGGTCTAAGAACCAGCATCCACCCACAGCACCAAAGACAGAAGAAAAAGAATAACAACACGGTTAGCATGCAGAGAGCATTGCAGGGGCAGAAGGTGGTATATCCTCTTGTGACATTTTCCCCAAAGGTATTAGAAGCAGAAATATCCTACCGAGATAGTGTCAAAATCAACCGAAGAGTTTTCAACTAGGAAATGCTTGAGTTATCTGAGAATCTGACTGGAGAAATTTTTCCTTGCCTGTAAGGACATACCTGAAAAGCGCCACATGTTTAGCCGTGGTGGACATATAACTGTTGGGATTTGTTGTCGCATGCTAGGTCTCCTAACCTCTTGAAGGTGACACATTAGATCCTTATATCAATGATCTGGACAGAATCAAACCTTAGTCACAGGTTGAGTTTCTGGTAGTCTGTAATGCTGTGCTTAGACTGAGCACGGTAAGATCAATGCTTTTTTGTAGATTTAAGGATGGGTCCGTTTAATTCTGTGCCATGGATCCTGAGGAACAATTATGACAGAACTAAAGACTGGACTCAGGAGAAACAAAAATAGGTTGGCCAAGGAATATGGTTCCAGATAATTCTTTAATAAGCAGAAAATCAAATAGTCATTGTACTTTCTGGACCAACCTAATGATGGAGATTAAATTAAAATCCAATCTTCATTTTATTTTTTTTCCACTACAAAATTAACAAAAACTGAAATGGATCATATTTATTTGGTGTTTACTCTCTTCAGTGACGTGGCTTGAACTTAACAGAATGAAGCTACTTTTGAAGAAAATCCAAAGATGGTTTTAAAAACCCTATCAGATAATCACTGAGACTCTCCGCCTCAGAGGCTGGTCCCCGCGCTCATGCTGTGGAAGTGGTACTTGTGACTTGTACTTTTCAGTGCATGTTTTGAACAGGGAGCATTGGAAATAGATAAAGGGGGTGAAGTACAAACTGAAATTTAAGGGTATGTGCCTTCCTTTTTTTATTTTCAAATTAAGACATTAAACTGTAAGCACAGGTGTCTTCCTGGGAGATACAGTGACCCGGAACTAGCAGTGACGAGCCCCTTATTGTGGTTTCCCTTCTCTGAGGTCTACTGTCACTGGCCTCGCTTGGCTTTGCCGCTAGACATAAGAGTTTGACCTTGCCCCTTTCTGGTTCGAACATGCTACTTAAAGGTCGTTACATGGAACTCAATTCATTAGGCTGGGATGGGATGGCTTGCCTGCTAAACGTGTCTGAGAGAGATCATAAAATAAATATGCACCCTACTTTGTATTACAAAAGCCTTTGGAATGGTTATTGGAAGAGAGAGATTTCCATACAGCGTTGGCGGAGCTGTGAACACTGTGAGAAGTCTCACTCTGTAGAGCGTAGGAATTCTATGCATCCAGACGTTATATTGTATATTCAGCAAGACCCGTGACTGGTAACTTCTCTTTGGGGTATTCTCGTGGAAAGCACTCTTACATTCAACTTTTACCTTTCGATGATAAAAGCCATTGAAAACCAATGTAAATACGTTGATCGTTTAAAAGCTTGCTCATCTTTAGGGCTGTACTCAGAAGGAAACACAAGTCATAAATGAGTATAAATGGAAACAGAGTGTGTCTGTCAGCCTTAATCAGCCTGTATGTAGACTTTACTGATGTGTCTAAATGATCTGACTTTCTCCACTGCTAAGAGAAAACCATGTTTGGTTGTTTTTGTTTTTGTTTTTGTTTTTGTTTTTGTTTTTGTTTTTGTTTTTCTAGTGTCCTCCTGGCATCAACACAGAGTCCCACTGTCTGACATGGAGGGGAATGTTCGGGGAGGTTGCTAGGGAATCATTAGAACTCAGACAAGTACTGTGTGGTTTCTGTGGGGAAGCTTATGAACACAGACAAATTATTTGAAAAAAGTGCATTGATATAAACAAAAGATGCAATCAAAAACAACCAAAATAATATTTTCCTGTGGGCCAAGTGATTAATGAGTTTATCTGGCTTATTCGGTTTAGGGGGTTGTTCGTTTTGTTTGTTCACTTGCTGGCAGAGTGATGAAAAATGATCCGTGTGCAGCATTGACTACAAACCGGCTACACACATGCGTCGGCTGCCATATGGATTTGGTCCTCCCGTCTCACCTTGCATCCCCATGCAATCTATCCCTCATTCCTGCTTCTGGTCTTCCCTTCTCCATCACTCTGACTCTAGAGGCTAAAGATGTCTGTGTGTTTAACTGACCTTCATTTGAGTCTGCAAAAACTGAAGGTAATCCAGGTGGGGAATTATCTAAGTGTAGGTTAGGAATGTGAATGTATTTGCATTATTGGCCACGGAAAAAAAGTGGATACTGGTGGATCTTTCAGATACATGGGTTCCCAGAGAATAGGAAATAGAACCCTAGTTGTACTCAGTATGGAAGTGAATTCCTTAAAAATGAGGGATAAGAGGTTAGGGGGCGGCTCAGTTATTTAAAGTGTTTGCTGTTCCTGCAGAGGTCCTGAAATTGGTTCCTACTCCCATGTCAGACAGCTCACAAATGCCTCTTCAGGACTTTGCATTTATATAGACACACACACACACACACACACACACACACACTGTCCACATAAAAATAAATACTTTTAAAATAGGCTATGAACACCCAGTTTGGGAGAGATGAGAAAATTGGAATGGCTGTTGGCTCTGCAGCCAGACTGTGAAGAACAAATTAAGCTGAGTCTTACCTTGCCTGAACAGAAATAAAGGGGTGGGGGTGGGGATGATAATAGCAGCCAACTATAGCAGCCAACATTGATTATTTTATTTGTAACCCTCTCCATAGCTCTCTCAGGTAAATATAATTCCCATTGTGCAGATTAGAAAACTTAAGGCAGAAAGATAAGTGATAATTTATCAAAGCCTACAGAGATTTAGTTAAAGGCAGAGCTACGATTCAATCTTAGATGGTCTGGCTCCAGCCCAGGCTTATAACTACCATTCCCCGAATGCCACCTGCTGGGTGCCAGGCACTGTGCTAAGCAGACAAGAGAATGTTCAAGATTAAATGTAATTGTCCCCTGTACAAAGGCATTAAACAGGTTAAGAAAAGACCATGTTTCTCTCTCCCCTTTATGTTTTCAATTTTTTTTTTACATGTATTTGTGTTTGCATGTCTATGTCTTTGTGGAGATCAGAAGACAACTTGCAAGATTTGGTTTCTTCCTCCTCCAAGATCTTTAGGTTGGTGGCAAGTGCCTAGATTCCCCGAGCCCTCCTCCCTATGTTGTTGGTGTTGTCATTTATAAATCCATGTCTACTCGACTTTAATAATAAAAGGAGTTCTTGATCACAGAGCACTCTGATCACTTTTCTAAAGCTCCCAACCCTGTAAAAAGTGTATGCCTTGTTTCCTGTTTTATTAGTGGAGAGCATGAGGGCTATTTACTATTTTCTCAGAGCTGTGCAGTGTCGCCACAAACAAATGATGAGAGGCCAGGGCGTATCTGGGGTCTTGAGTTCCACATACTATTAGACATACTCCCTAAAATTCAAATGTACTCCTGGAATGCTTTTTGTACTTGCTGTCTGGCTATGAGCATATTATTTATTGTTAGTTTTGTAAAACACAAGGTTCAGGTCTCCCTCTTGGGGGGTGGGTGCAAGGACCACAATGCATTTTATTTGGCACGGAGAAAGCCTGTCTTAAACACTTTTAGATGTGTTTAACCACCAAGATACCATTTAACTGAGCTTACCCTAGGCCAATTGACAGCCTCTAGCACAAGGGTTCTGTAAATATATTTCAGAAAAGAATGCTTCCTGGAGGGCAAGATATGAACTCATTTGGAAGGTATGCAGGCTCCTCATCAGCCAACTCGAGTTACTTTTCAGACTAATTTCCTACAATTGCACCTGTTTTCTGTTCTGCAGTCTGCCATGTTAAACAATGATTCCATTAAAAATACATAATAACAAGTAATTATCCCATCCCTTGAAGGGATCCAATATATCCCTACTTGAAATGCTGTAATTATAAGCTTTCCTCAAAAGACAGTTGCACAAACAGGCTCATTCCATCATTGGCTCAGGAATGCTAATCCTTGCTCATTGGGTGAAGGATGGTCCATGGGAATGCAAGAGGATCAGAGGCCCCCCATTGATTCTTCAAGCCCTCTGCTTCCAGCTTTGGCTCAGAAACCAGAACTTTGGTTTTGACACTACGAACTTTACTCTCACGCCCTCAGTTATGTACAAAACTGGGGTAAGAATGTAAAAGCCAACTGCTGAAATTTTGGCACAAATAGCATTCTGCGGGAGAGAGAAAATAGTCAAAACTAAAATGCAGGTTATGAAATGTACAATGTTTTGTTTTGTTTGGGGTCTTGTGTGTCCTAGGCTGACCTCGAACTTGCTATGAACTTGAGGATCACCTTAACTTCTCACCCTCTGGGTTTAGGTAGAGCAGAAGATCCAATGCAGGGCCTGGTTCATGCTAGGCAAGAACTCCACCCACTGACCCTCCTCTGCAGCCCCAGGTTATATAATGGATGGTGCACCCTGAGATCTGAGGGTAGGAGCCTTTCCTGGCAGTGTTACCCCATCGTCTGTCCCTCCTCTAAAAGGGTTCTCCTTCAGTTGATTATAAACAGCTAATGGATCACTTTATGTTGCCACATAATCTCTCTGGCTAATCTGATGGACCACTTGTGAGAGCTGATATCCAATGGGATGCCCAAAAGACAAATCCAGGCTTTGTCTTTCCTTCAGCTAGAACTTGGAAGAAATAAAGCTGTCTTTAGTTTAATTAAGTATTAATCTGACCACCTGAAAATGACTGATTTTTCTCCACATTGTTTATTTGTCTAAGGCTCCTATCTCATGGGGAAAAAAGTGAGCCATAGTAATTCCTCTATAGTAAGTGTAAGCAGACACCAAAGTTCCTAGACAACGTATACATTCACCTGTGTTCACACAGACGAAAAACTACATGAAAGACAAGCATTTTTCCTATGGACGAATCCTAAAACCTCTACTTAGATGCTATCAGTGTGTGGTAAAGTTCAAAATTCTCCTGTTTGTTTACCCAGAGCATTGGTAGTACTTAAGGCCCACATAGAAGTAAAAGATCCAAGACGCTCTGAATGTGTATGTGAATGTCCCATGTTCTTCAGATTCTCTTAAATATATATGTATATAAATATATACATGCATATGCATATTGTAGACTTCCAGTGTTTGCTGTCATTACTGACCAAGAGAAAGTTCTTTTGTGCACTTTCGGAAAACATTAAATTAGCAATTGCCATAGAAATGCATTCTATTGAATTGGCTTTTGTTGTTGTTTCAGGAACATTTAAGATGATTGCTAGATGCTTTCGTGCCTTCCTTGGTGTTGACATATGTATTTGTGTCAAAATTGTGAAGCTCTTTCTTTTCCTACAAAATAGAGTTCTTTTTATTTTTTTTCCCCAAGAGAAAACTAGCAATAGATTTGGAGCACAAATTGATGTCAAACATCTTGACTCTTATAATAACCTAAAGATATTTTGTTTATGTTGGCAAACAATTGCCAGGATCTTTTTGTAACAAATATTAAAAATAGTTTAATGTATGGCTGTGATATGTAGTTGATTATTTCTGTGCTTGTGTACCCTTTAATAATAGTCCTAGACAAGCAGGGTTGTGCTTTTCTTTCTTCTGAGTGTCAGGGTAGGTGCTGCTTAGTTCATTCATCCAACGCTCGTTACACTCCAACAAAACTGGACATGTTTGTACTTAAATTCTGGGTCTGGAAGTCGGTGTAACTATCTAATAACACAGTAGCTTTAATGGGTTAATAAAAAGAGCATTATCTACTTTTTAAAAGACGTATTTTGAGACTAATAAAGATGTAGCAGAGCATCCCAGAGTGGCACTGTGGTGCTGTGTTTTTCATATTGTTTGACCTTCGACCCTCTCCATCTGCAGGTTGTCAGGCGGCTATCACTGCCGGAGACTGACTGACGAGAAGGATTTGCACCTGGCACCACTGTGGCTCCCACAGAGCTCCAAGGAGATGAAATCCAGTAGCAGATGGTACTTTAGCATCCTGACCTGTGCTCTCAGAAAGGGCTATCGTCAGAGTGTTGCTTTGGCCCTCAGTGTCAGCTGAAGAGACAGAAAAAGAAAAATAAGCAAAACAGGAACTCGGGACTGGAGCCTTCAAATGCATGCTCTGCAATCTGGCAGAAGTCTTCCAGGTCAAAAACACCTGTCACTCTGGTCTTCAGAGGCTGTCTCATTCTCCTCTTTGTTTTCACCTTCCATTTTTGT